TCCTCAATGGTCATGGTGTCCAAATCCTTGGACTCTTCAATAACAACAACAACATAATTGAATCGTGGATCTAAGGATCGTAGAATTTTTCCAACAACCCAATCATCCTTCATGTCATTCTCATATCTCCTTATTTGGTTGACAATAGCCAAAACATTTGAAATATAATTCGAAATATACTTGGAGTCTTTCATTTGTAGGCATTCAAATTCTCCTCTTAATGTTTAGAGATGTATTTTCTTCACTTTATCAACTCCTTTAACAGAATCTCAAAGAATATCCCATATTTCCTTGGAGGTGGTTGCTCTAGCAACTTTCTCAAAACATCTTTTTATCTAAACTTTGATAGATGAGAGATAGTGCCTTTTGATCTTTCTTCATAGTAGCTGCATATGCATCTTCTGCAGCCATACCTTGGGCCACATGTTCCCAAATATCAAAGGCTCCAAGCAAAGCCTTCATACGAATGTACCAATTATCGTAATTATCTTTGGTGAGTGGTGGAACTTGCAATGGAGTTCCATTCATCATCTTTTTTTTTTTTTCAATTATCTCCAAACACAAGCTGCTCCAATGCCAATTTGTTAGAAATTGGAGAGCATAAGTTTATTCAACACTAAAATTCGCGAAAAATGAGTGGAGAGGAAATATATATGTGATTCTATTACCACTTCAACTTGATTCTCAAATGGTTAGATTACACGAGTATATATAGGATTTTCTCAACATGAACCTAGTCTAGTACATGTATCAATATTTAATTGCATACTTTCCCTCTACCTAATAATATGAATAACTCCAACAGACATACATGTACTCTCTTTAATTCATGCATTGAACACATTTGACCTTGCACTGTAAGGGTAATCGTCATGGACTCGACCATGTTTGGACGGTTACCTTCTTCTTCTTTTTTGGTAAAGTTCATTCAGGTAAGATACGATTTTCAAGCCTACTTTTCTTAACAAAAATGAGAGTTTGACAATGTCCCATACCCTAACATATTGATATATGTAAAACTGAAGTTAATTACAATCTTCAAAAATAAGGAAAAGAATGTGCTATATCTGAGAATACATTTTGCTCAAGTTTACTTGCACAGAACACGAGAAAGAAGACTAAAAAATTACAATTAAACACATTTCTAAAGCCCTAAGAGTGTACAATCTCAATAAGCCCAGCTAGGTTTTCGAAATTTGATGTTTTTCCTTGTTTATAAGTAAACAATGACACTAAAATAAGAATATTCAGTTTAAATTATTATTATTATTATTATTATTATTATTATTATTATTATTATTATTATTATTATATTGCAATACATATATTTTAATTGATATTTTGGGTGAAGTGTTAGTATGTGTAATTTCGCCCGATGGAAATTATTTGAAAAAAAAAAATATTTTGAATAGTGATTTTTAGGAAAATGTTTGGTTAAAAAATATGAGAAGTTTAGAATTTAAGTGCAAAATATTTTATTGTGTGAATGTGTGGTTAAAAATGAGTATATAGAAAAAAAAGTTTTCAAATAATGGTTGTCAAACAAGTGCTTCCACTAAAAAATATGTTCGAACAAATAATATTTTAATTTAATTTCTTTACAAAATATGCAAAATCTCACATTGAAAATCGTGATAAAATCTTGTATACTCGTGTTTGAGTGGTAGAAAAACATGTAAACTTAAATAATTTCTAAACAATTTATAAAGAAATTTTAGCCCTCGTTTGAACCCAATTTTTGTAAGAAAATAATTATTTGAAAAATGTTATTAAAAAAAGAAAGAATTTTTTTGATTTGTGTAAAATTATTTTATGGAAGAATGTGCGGTCAAAAATGAAATTTGAAAAAATAGAGGCCAAATATTAGGCATAACTAACGACAATTATCAAATAGTTTGATGATTTGATCCCTTTTTCAAAAAAATAAAATAAAATAAAATAAAAACTTTGATTCTAACCGAAATTTACAAGTTCGACCCTAAAATCGCCTACAGAGAGGTGAATATGTGAATGACGCAGAATTAAAATTATTAATTAAAAGTAACAAGTCATATTTTAATTGTTCTAGATGTTTAGTCAATCAAGTCAATTTTATCCCATGTCAAATTGCCACAGTAGTAAATAAAACAGTAAATAATACAAAATTTGTTGACGGAGAAAATCATTTACATGATTAAAAACTCCGGGATCAAGCTAGTAACTTTCACTCTAAACAATAATAACTTACAGTACGATCCAATCTAAAAAATCCACTAGACTAGCTGATCTAATCGAGCTATGGGCTCATAACGTTTAAATAGAACCTATTACGCGCCCAAAACAGCTAGCCCTTAAAAAGCCCAATCTGTAACATTTTCACAGCATCACCTTAATTTGAGGCTAGAATTGGACCTAGTTGAGCCTTGTCTATGATATATTGACCATTGGGCCTGCCCAAACAAGGTTAGTGTTGGGGGTTTTAAGTTGTATTGACTATTGTTTAGACAAAAGAATTATTATACAAGAGTTGTAAAAGTTAAAGAGTCATTTGCAATGTTGTATAGATGAACTATGAGTTTTTGAGTTCAAGTATGAAATATGGAGAAAGAGTCGTTGGAATTATGCTAGCATGTCGCCAAACTGATGCTGGAGCGTCCAAAGAAAAATCATTATTGCTTGCCTATCGCTCAAGCGAAAGTATTTTCGAGAAGTCATAGTTCGCGATTTTCAAAAGTTCTATCTATCATATACTATCCCAATACCTCTATACTATAAATATCCAAGTCCCACTTTATGAAAACTGGGATTGATCATTATTTTCTACCTTCATAACATTTTTTGGATATCAACCAACAATTCTAGATCTTGACGTCAATCAACCACAAGTTGAAAAAAATATGAAAATCAAATAATTCAAAACACCAACTTCATAAATATAATTAGAAATGTACTTTTTCGATAGCCTTCAGAGGTTGTTGAATATTGAGGGATGTTGGACCATATGCACAGAAAGAATACAAGAACAAAGTGTTCTTAGTGATCCACATGAGATAGACAATTCCAAAAGATCGAGAGCAGGTATGAATGAAGTACATTCCAATGGGTCTTGAAAATTGTAGGACCTTTTGACTCGTGTAGATTACTGTAGAATAATTAACCATTGAAATCGAACTCATTCAACTGATAAACGATACACATATTCGATTTTATTACATTATCAACTTATTGTTTGATTTGCAAGTTGATTATTAAACTTGAAAACTAAGCAAATTGATTTTCAACCTTTATTATTATTATTATTATTATTATTATTATACATTAATAAAAACTTAAATTGTCTACTACCTTAGTGGAACATGTGGCTTTAAATTTCTAGGCACTAGATAATATAACTTCATGAAGTTGGATATGTGAGGATATAATGAAAGGTTGCTCATCAGCTAGTTATCAAGCAACGGGTTATGGACACGGCCAAGTGCATTCTTCATGATATCACCAAAATATATCATAGACGAATTTAGTTTAAGCCACTTAATTAAGTTTTTAATGAAAAATAGGAAAATTAATTTAAAAAGACAGTTAATTGCATGGTCTCTCCTTTTTTCTGAGCTGCCAATGCAACATCCAGCGTGACGACAACATTAGCAAAATCATGTCGTCTAAAGCGTGTACTATATAGTATATACTATATACTAAGATTTTCCAAGAAAAAAAAGGTTATATATATATATATAACAATCTTAAAAAGTACCGTGGGGACTATAATTCCATCTCGAGATAATTTAAATTATGTTTAAATTATTTTCTTAAATTGAGACCGTGTAAGCGAAGAAATTCTTTATACATAATTAATATAATAATTGATAGTAGTAAAAGTGTAAAACTAGAGTTCTATTTAAAGAATTGGTGTTTCTTTATAATGGAGAATAATTTAGAAGTAGAAAAATTTATACACTTTCACTGAAAAAAAGAAGAAGAAGAATTAGATGACATGTTATAAAGAAATGCCAAATGGACAATGAATACAGTATCAATAGCTTAAATTTCTACTTTTATAAATTTTTTTTTTTTTTTTTAACTTTGAACAACAAAAAAGTTATTTAACTTAAAATTTATTTATAAATAAAGTTTTTAGTATAACTTTGAACTTTGACATGAGCGCAATATTGTGCCTAGTGCACAAAGATGAGGGAGCCCGCGACCAGGAAACATGGAAATTGATTTTATTTTCCAGTATAATAATAATATATTCATTTTTATTGTAATTGGTGAGTATGTATGATGGCATGATAACATCACAATCACCAAAGTTAATCAATTAATGTAAATTATATTAAAAATAAATAAATATAAGGCTAGCTATCATGAGGCTAATTAGCCGAAAGTGGGATCCTTATCAACTTCAGTCTCATCCACATTACACACATAACTATTTTTCGTGTGTCGGAGGCACCCTTGACTTGTTTGGTATTCATGAATACGTCGGTATACAATATCAAACACACAGTTGAACCTCTTCTCATAAATTTGGGCAGACTACTTTGATCTTTTTCGGCAAAAAATCTCCCCGGAAGTATGTTTAGCTTGCAAGATTAAAGATTTTCAACACCGAAGCCTTTGTGAATATATGTATTAGTGAACACACTTGATTGGACCTCTTTTCGGAGATGTGCTTCGAGTCTTCGACCTTTATGAACACAGTCTCTCGAGAAGCCTTCAAATTATATGTTGTAAGTAGATTGGACAAACAATAAAAATAAAAACATAGAAGAGTTGCTAAGACAATGTAAAAAATGATAACAAAATTTATTCTGGGAAATTATTATTCCTCTATGCCTATATACAAACAAAGGAGAAAAATATATATAAAAGAAGAAGGTCCAATATTCTTATGGATACTCTTTACAAGTTTGATAAACAGGAATAAGACTCCACGGTGATAGTAGCGAGTCATATTCGATACTGTGCTCATAATGTGTCAAAAAAAAGAAAAAGCAAGGAGAAATATTAATCGCCGTTAATTAAGCTTCACTCGGTGTCTCAGAAATGCTCTCTAAGTGAGGTCTCCAAATCCCGACTCGCCCTCTCCGGCGATCTTTCTGCGTAGAGAGTTTTTCCGATAAAATCTCACTCAAATACTGATCAGAAACGCCAGTTTTCGAAGCCTTATTACTGTCAGAATCGGTCTTTCTTCTCCTTGACGACGATCTTGTTCGAGCTTCTCCGGCAGCCGGAGGCACAGGCATGAGAAAATATATCTTCCCACGTTGAAGTTCAGCATCAGGAGGCACTACAACAATCTTGGGACAGATCCGTTCATCAGATGAGGGCGATGAGGGTTTCTTTAAAACGTGTTTTGGATGTAATTTCATTATTTCTGCTGCCTTTATTGTGCCACTGATTTCCTCTACTCGGCCATTGGCATGCACTATTCGAATCACGTCAAGTGCACCGCAGGGAAGAATGCAGGATATGCAGCATCTAATGGTGTTCTTCATGGTTCGTTTCTTGTTCCTCTCTCTCTATATTGTTCTGGAGAGAGAAGAAGAGGAGAGGAGAGAGAAGGAAATGGAAGAAAATGAATATATAAAGAGATGAAAATAAAAAAAAATATTTTCTTTGAAATATTTGTCTAAGTGGTGAATTTCTTTCTTTGCACAAATCAAGGAAATTGCTAATGGTCCTCTCCTCTTGGTCGACAAATCATTTAACTCGGGACCTAGTGATCTAAGAATTCCGAGTAAAATCAAATGAGAAAAATAACTTAAAAGATTTAGCCCCTATTTGGTTCAACTAATTTTTTAAAATTAAAATATAAGTTAAATTCTACAATTAATTTTAATTACACATTTCGCGTGATCAACAATTTTTCAATTATATATTTTATGTACTTTTATCAAAATTTACTAAATATATAATTTTTATCTAACTTTTCTTCTTTTCTTTGTGGGAAATTTTTATTTCTCACTTTCTAGCTTGGTATAAAATCTAATGGTACGAATAAATAATTGCATCTCAATCTGTACTTCGCCTTTTGGGTCCATCATTCACCCTTTCCCATACCTCCTTACCCCCACACTAAGTTCAATAATTTGGGTTGTGTGTGAAAGGCTGGGGATTATGGAGACTCATGTTTGTCCATGATTGCAATAGCCAGAACATCCAGTTGGGTGATCGAAATGACACGTGTTTGAATAGACCGGCAACACTTATCGATATGTAATTGGTCCATTCTTGTTAGTTAAGAGTAGGTTTGTGTGAGCAGCCCACTGAAGGGTCCTAAAAGGGTGGGTCTGAGAGGTGGAGTGCAGGGGACGAGGTTGTTTGGAAGAGATATGGTACATGTACACCCCAATTGTTTGCATAATTTATACTTGGTAAAATCTTAAACAATCATCCACAGCAAACACATTTAATCCGACGATTACAATTATGCCACACAGGCATTTGTACGCTAGGGTGGCAAGAAAATATGTTCCCCGTTTGGAATGTTATGTCAAGAAGGATAAGAAATGAGACTTTTCTTTTTTGCCTTGTTTTCTTTGTTCTCCTGCATTTGGCTTAAAGAGTCATATTGTTATTAGAGGAGTTTGTGATCTTTCAACTTCTCAAGACAAGATCATGTGGATTGTAGCTTTCATTGAAAAGCAAAAAGTGAAAAGTGACTCAACTTGTTGATATATTTCATGTGCTAGATTAGTTTAGATAGGATGAGATTAGATAAAAGAAACATGTAGTAAAATGTATCACTTGTCCAATTGAGTCCACTCGAATAGGATCAAAGAAGAAAAACGAGACAAAAATATTTCAAAATGTTCAATTAAATGTGATGTTATTAGAATTCGACCATGGACCACAAACGTATGATTAAAGTAGTTCTATATCACATTGGGATATAAATCTAAATAATTTGTTAGAGGACTGATTTGATGTGTGTCATCTTGTGGGCCAAAACTAAAGTTAAAATAGTTGGTTTAAAAAGTAGTGATTTGATTAATTAATATCCATATTAATTTGAAGTGATCTATAATAGAAAAGGTGGCCCATACATTTAATGGTTCATATGTAGAAGTTAGTGGGTAACATGTGAGGAATGGAGGGGAGGGTCCATTTAGAGGGCCCTTGGAATGTTTTATCAAATTAGGACCCTATCAACGAAATTAAACTATTTGTTACAATGGATAAATGATGTCATCTGTATCTCACTTTTTAACTACAAATAGAGATATGTAAGATTAGTTAGGTTAAGCTCGGTGATCGAATTGGACTATCGAACAATTAACAACCATTCTTGTCTTAGCCTTTTTTCTCAAGAAATTAAAAACTTTTATGGTCGAATTGACTCACTAACGAGGTGACATGTAACATGTCATACTTTTATATCGATCCAAACAGAATAGAGTCAAACTTGACTAGATTACCAATTAAGAAAAATAACATTTTCTATACTATTCAATATTTTGTAATTTATGTTAAACTATGAGAATGATATACTTATATATCATAAGTATAAAGGAAATTAAAAGGTGAAAAGAGTTGAGTTGGGATGATGTGGTGTCATAGCTTCAATTATTGAAAGTGGCAGCAGCCAGCAATCATGAGCATGAAGAAATAACAAAAAGAGAATTTTTACTGACGCTCTTATCACCTGAAATCATTTTTAAGGTTTTATCTTCTTACAGAAAATTCTATCTGATCTTATTATGTAGGAAAAATCTATTACTCTCAATTGGTTATTCTTGTCCCTATATATGTCTTGTCAGTGAAATATTTCTCCAACTTTTAACAAACAAGTTTTTTCTTTAAATACAGAATTTTCAAAATGTGTTAATATACAATTTTAGTGCATTATGACTGGGAGTTTTTGTGAACTTTTTTCATAGAATAGAGAATTTTTAGGGATGGCAACAGTTCGATTCGAGACCGGTTCGATCAAAATCATAACCGCACCATCAAATTTTTAGTCATACCATAACCATGTAAGTCGGTTCAGTTCAGTTAATAACCACGAAAATAAATTATTTTTTATAAGTCAAAATTCCAACCGTCAAATTGGAAAAAAAATTATGAAGAAAAGTCAATAAAAACAAAAAAATAATACTAAGCTAATTTAACAAACAATATTTCAAATAGAGACATGCAAATGACAGTAACTATAAAAATAAAAATTGATTGACAGATATATGAAAAATGAAAGAAGAAATAAAAAAATAATTTATATGTCTGTCAATATATCACCAAGTTCCTCACTTCATGCTGTACATTTGCCTCAATTGTTGGAGCTCCAACACCATCCAAGGCATTACGACCTCCTTATCTTTTTACGACACCATGCAAAGTGACCCAAATGAACTTTTCCATCCTCAGAACCATCACCAAGGAAAAGAATACTCTGATCAGAACGCTGAATTTTGAAACCATCAAAACCAACCAAAGTCATATCTGCCCTCAAATTTGCATCCCTCTTTCATATTCTGTACGTGTCAGAAATAGCGATTCTCAAAATGAAAGGGATCATTGAGCTCTCAAAATGAAAACTGATCTCCATGTAAAAATCCTTCATCCTTTTCATTGTCCCAATTAACCGAGGTAACCTTCTGCACCATTTTGCCCAAGCCAATGGCTGGTAATGCCGAACCATAATCTTTACAATCCTTTCTTCCCTATTGCAAATTGCCTCCTGGAGTGTGTTCATTTTTTTTTCTGTTTGTTGTCAATTCTACTATATATATTCTCTCTTTCACTGGCTGTTTTTATTCTCGATAATCTTATCCCTTTCTCTTCAGTTCACTCAATAATTTTGCTTTTTTATGACAGTTATAAAGATTCTTGAAATATAATTAATTTCATAAATACATAGAGAGTATCCTTTGTGATTTTTGGTGAAGTGATGTCTGATTTCAAGTTCTGCTTTATTGAGTACTGATTTGTGTATGTAATTATAGGTATACATTTAGCCTCTGTTTGAACCGCATTAAAATTTTCATTCTCATTTTTCTACTCATTTTCAACCACACATTCTTTAATAAAATAATATTTTCCATCACATCGATAACTTTTACTTCTTTTTGAACTACACATTTTTCATCAATCTACTATTCCAAAATACATTCTTCCAAAATAATATGGCTCAAACACACCATTAATTCAGATTTCAAGTTCTGCATCATGTTTCATTCATGATGTCTTTCATACATGGAACCAAGGTTCCCCACCCACCCATGGCAAATGAGAAAAAGCAAAAAAGAAAATAAAGGGAATCACATAAATGATGTGATGACAAAAGTATTTCTCTAAAATCATGGGAACATGTAAATTCAAAATACAATAAAAGAATAGAAAAAATACTATCTGTTAAAATTTGACAAATTATTTGACTTTTAAAAGGAATCAAGTTCAAAATCGATTGTCGACATGTTTAAAAAAAGAATTAAGCCCTGTTTAATTTCACAGGGGCCTTAGAGGCTCCTCACTGTAGCACATGGCCTCACCCCAATGTATTAAAAAAAATATGTGGCCCCTACCTCAATGTGTGTTACATTTAACAGGCTCCCGTAAGTGTAGCACTACTCTTAAAAAAAAGATCCGTGAAGAAGCATGTGGTACAAAGTTGTCATAGTTATGGTACAATAATTATCCAAAGGGTACAAACGAAGATTCAAATAGAAATCCATTCAATTACAAGCCAGGGGAAAAAATTATAGAATTATGGTACAACAATTATCCAAAGGGCACAAACGAAGATTCTAATAGAAATCCATTCAATTACATGCCAGGGAAAAAATATTGGGTAGTGTTTGATGCACCAAATTTACCTAGGAAAATGGAAATGAAATTCTAACTTCCACAAAAGGTAGTGTTTGATGTACAAAATTTGGCCA